GAAATAATTATCTGTACACTCAAGTGTACTTCATGCATTTTGTACTAGGTTTGGGCAATTTTGGCAAAAAAAGTTGATGTCACAGAGAGCAGAGATATGACTGTTGATCAAAATAACTTTAACTACAGACTAGGGTTGGGTAATATTGGCAAGAAAAATTAATCACGATTAATTGTGGTATTTAGCCAATAACGATTAATTTGACGATTAACCCCCTGGAGTCCCTGCACACCTTTATGTCCTGGTCACATGACCAATTTAGTGGGAAAGATTTTCTTTTCATAAAATCTGTTCCAAATTGTGTCAAAATCATAGACTTCAGGCTATACATCATTTTTAAATTGTGTTGATAGATAATTAAATTACAGAACCTTTTTTTGTCATATTTGAAGCGGAGAGGAGCACCGAGCAGACTGACCGGGGAAATCTCCAGTCACTCTGCCTGGTGACATTAATCATATTAATCGTCAAGTGCCAAAAAATAATCGATTAATGTTTTTCTGATGATCAATCGCACACGACACGATTATGCCCAACTCTACTACAGACTTAGCCAGGCACGAATGACAGTTGAAAGAGCTTTTGGGCGCCTCAAAGGGCGCTGGAGATGCCTCCTGAAACAAAATGAGTCACACATTTCACTGATTAGTCAAGTCATCTTAGCGTGTTGTGTCTTACATAATTTTTGTGAAGTTCATCATGAGCAATACATAGGAGAGGAAAATGAAGAACAGGATGATGAAGCACGTGAGGGAGGTGGAGAGCTTCCAGCACAGGTTCCAGTCCAGAGGGCTCAGGACATCCGAAATGCTCTGTCAGTTTATTTTTCAAGGTCCTAAAGAATTTTATTATTTTTTTGTGTGTGTGTGTGTGTGTGTGTGTGTGTGTGTTTGTATGTGTGTGTGTGTTGTAAGAAATCACAATGGTACAACGGTAGTAAGACAACTTCAAAGACTGTAACATTAAGATTGCTCTTATAGCTGTTTGTGAATACAGACTTTATTTTTTTTATGTTATAAAACTGAACATTTACAAAAATATTTCATATCTTTACTATTTGTTCAGCTTAAACAAATTCTGTTAAATAAAAACTATACATACCATGTACGCATACGCTTTATATGAAAATAAAGAATAGCAAACAGACAAAATGTTTTAAAATAAAAACTGTAGACTTGTTAAAATATTCTGTAGAACAAACTTTAACATTCAAACAAAACAGGTAACTAGCAGGTAATGAAAACAATCCTACCTGTGCAAATATCCAATCTACAGGTCACAGAAATGCTGACTGTAATTTACTCTATGCAAGATGTCTGACACTTTTTGAGTACCGTGTGTATTATTTTGTCTGTTCTCTTCAGCATTGAACGTAGGTGCTTGAATGAACTGTGTGTTCTGCTGTGGGGACTGAAGAAAGGACACAGTGCTGCTAGATGTAGACCCAGAAGCTGTTGGAAGCCAGTGGGTTGAACTTGATGGTTGTGAGGGATAATAGTGGTTTTGCTGTGTGTTATTTTGTGTTTGACTGCTAAAGGACATCAAATTAATAACAGTGCCCRTTATCTGACTGACCATCTGTGTGTGTGCCTGGTGTTGGGCTTGCATCATTTGAAATCTTTTCTCCTCTGCCTCCTGATG